CCCCCCTGCATTACATCTGTGACAAGACAATACCACCCCGCCCCGAGCGATGACGATCGCGTTGTTGATCCGGAGGCTCTTGGTGCTGGTGATACTGGCGTTCCTCCTCCTGACCGGCATGAGGGGGGGCATGAACAGAGGAGGCCACTCCCCGCCTGAGGCCGACGACCACAGGTATTATACAAGCACACAGAAAGCGCCCGCCGTGCTTATGAAGACGCTAATTTTCGGCCAAGGGTATGTCTCTTAGTTCCCACGGTCATTCCACGAATGGCTGCTATTTATGGGTTTTAGGGGTGGGGGTTATTGACGAGCTCACCAACGGTGCTTGCGGTCTGAGATTTTGAGTTTGTTTTGAGGCTCGATTCTCAATTATCTGCAGAGTTCTTGAAGTGCGGGCGCTTTCTTTACGCGGCAATCCTTTCGGCCTCTTCCGGCCTCTTCATCGCTGTCAATCGTTGCCTTTTCTCGCAAGAACTCCCATGGTCGCTCTGTACCTAGCTAACCAACCGCGGGGACTTTGCATATTACGTGGGGGGGTGAGGGGTGGAGGGGTGCTGATGATGCCTCTGTTGAACCAGAGAGTGGCTGAGGGCAAGGGAGGCGAAGCAGGCGCAGATTGGTAATTCTTCCACCTGCGACAACATCATCAACGAAGTCGTCTGCTCTGCTCTTCCTCATACAAGAAGGCACCGTGTGCCTCGCGGCTAGTCTATTAGTCGAACGCCCTGTCCTATAAATGCGGGAGCCCGCTCCCCCGGGCGCTCATTTTCCCCACATCGTAATTGTACTCTCCTTGGCTTCTGATTCGCCTTTTCCTCGTGCGTAGGCGGCCGTCATGCTGCTGCCCTTGGTCTGTAGTCTAGTCTATGGTGCTGTGTCTGCTAACTGCACCCCCCCCCCTTACCGGCGCTCATTTTTCCCACCCGAAAATAATATGGTTGACGTCTGGCTCTCGCTCTCTCTCCGAACGGTACATACAGCGGGGAGCCCTTTCATCATCTTCCGCTTCCGTGGCCGACCTCCGCCGCCGCCGCCCCGACTTGTCCCGCCGCTGGCGGTGCGTATTTCCCGTACCACGTTCTTTTGATTTTTGTCGCAAGGGAGGGCATGGCGTATGTGTGTGCTCTGTGGTTGCTTTGCCCATGAGTCAGAGTGGAGGGCTATCTGTCTCCTGTTTGTGTGGGGTGTGTCCCCGTTGTCCGTGTGTGATGTTTGCTTTTTCGTTTGCACGCCTTTGCTTCCTTTTTCCGAATGCAGTATTTAGTTGCCATACCTACTCAGTTTTTTGTTTTTCTCCACGCACGACTAGTTAGAGGATGCACGTTCGTTTCATGTCATTTTGAGGTCAAGCCTGCGACCCACGCATGCATACGATCTGCTCGGTAGTGCCGTGTTCCCCTGGACACAGCGCGATGGGGCTAACAGGCGTTGACGCAGGTGGCATGATGAAAGATATCACACCCCCTGGACCGATGTCCGAAGCTCGATAACGGTAAGAGGAGAGAAGAAATGGCACCCCCCTCTTAGACCGACTTTCAAAGTTCGATTGCTCCACATGCAAGATTGTCTGTGCCGTACCGAATACCGTACCGTGGTATTCCGTGAGAGGCGTAGAGATGGCAACCTTCCTAGGCCGACTTTCAAAGTTTGATTGCTCCACAACGGACGGGGCGCAGAAAGAGCTCGAATATTCTACGAAAATCCCTCGACGAGGCATGTCGAAAACCATTTTGGTGTTGGCACAGTGTTGCGGAGCAATCGAGCTTTGAAGATAAGTCTAAGGGGGGGTGATGCCGTCTCCCCGTCTCTTGCGGTGCTCCACGACGAAGAAGAGGATGCGAAAATGAAACAGTCCCTTTTCGGAAAGCTCTGGAGCAGATGGTGCTAACGCCACCGTTTTCGACACTCCCGCCCTGCCTGTTGTGGAGAAATCGATCTTTGCAGATCGGTCCAGAAGGGGGCGCGATATCTTTGTTATGTTACCTGCGATACACACGTCATAAAATGTTGACGACATATATATTCACAAGGCACACGTCTGTTTATGACGTTTTTTTCTTTTGATTCTCAGAGTAGCGTCGCTGTTGTGCTTCCCTCCCCCGATCGAATGCTTACCGGTTGACTTGGCACTAGGGGTACAATGTGGCGGCCGCGACTAAGAAACAAACCTTTCAGAAACCATTCAGTCAGAAAGTCTCAGACATCGATTGGGGGATAAAACAAGTAAGAAAAATTGACGAAGAAAAACACACCTCAGCTCTGTGGACCCTACACTATTCAATGACCTACCGTTGCATACGTAAGATATCACACCCCCTGGACAGGTTTTCAAAGCTCGATTACTCCCACCACCAAGTCAAAGGGTTTTTTTCGGAAAGCTTTGAACGAGACGGTTCCAACGCCTCCGGCCATTTTCGGCAACGTCACTGCTTTTCCTGCCGAATAATCGAGCGTCGAAAATCGGTCCAGGGGGGGTGATATCCTCTGCAACCCACGGTATGCTCGAAGCGGTGGTGACGGAGTACCGTATACTATTTCGACACAAGATAACACACCTCCTGGACCGAGTTTCTAAGCTCGATTCACCAACAGCCGAAAGAGTCACAGCGCCGAAAACGGCGGCGTTGAAGCCGCCTCGTCGAGAGCCTTGCGAAAAAATATCCTTTGACTTAGACATCCTCTTGGTCGTGGAGTGATCGAGCTTTGAAAGTCGGTCCAGGGGGTGTACTATCTTGTGTCCAAGTATACGGTAAGCCTCGACCCCCAATCTGACGTTTTCTGAAACGCCGACGCTAACATTAACTGCCGTATGTAATCGTTGGTCCTACTCTTTTGTCGCCAGGCGAGGACTCCGCATCCGGGAACAGCATGGGCTACCAGGGAGATGGCATTGACCAGGTCACCCTCTGGCTGTTTGTGTGGCTCTGCACCTGCACGGTAGCATCCTATGTGAGTGTTGGTGGTTGACCAGCTTGGAGAGATGCTGCTACTACTGCTGTACTGCGGTAGGGGGGGTCGCCTCATGCTTTGCAATTTGGGGAAGGGGGGGGGGGGGGGGGGGGGGGGGGGTACGTGCTCGTCGAATCCGGACCACAGTAAAAGCAGGGGGGGACTCCCATCATTCGCGCTTGTGACGTATCATGCACATGTCCTCAAGGAGAGGAGGCAGGAAAAGGTGCGCCACAAAAAAATACAGGCGCAATCGCCTCCATCCCGAGCACGCCGCTTCGAGAAACGGAAACAATCCACCGAAAAACCGCTCATATACCTCCTCTTCCTCGCACAACACCGGAGAGGGACCCTTACCAGGGCGGCCTCAAAAAAATAAATTGTGGGCCTACAGCAGCAGAAAGCACGACGGGATACTGTACCAAGGGCTGCTTCGCTTGAAGGTATCGCTCCTCTGCTCCTTCGACTATTCATTCGTCAAGGAACCAAAAACTACCAACTACCTCCTCCTTCCCTCGCGCACCTACCTACTACTACACCACCAACAACAACTACTCCGTCTCTCGTCGTCGCTCGCGCACCTGTCGACGCTGGGGTGCAGCACCCAGAACGTGATGTCGTTCGTGCTGGTGGCCTGGAACATGGTGCCAATGTGTCCCGGGGAGCACAGCAGGTACATGAGCTGCTGGTAGATCTGGGTGCTCTCCTCCTCGGAGTAGCCCGGTAGGGTGAACAACACGTCGCCCTGTGTGCGCGCGCGGACGTGCCAAAAAAGTAAAAATAAACGCCGTTGCTGCCATCGAACCGCGCTGACGTAACCGGCCTACCATACATACGGGCTCGATGGAGGTTGCGCGGCTTCCTGGGAATCGCGTGTCTACTTTCATGGAAGCGTGTGAAGCTTGTGTGAAATTCACCAATATCGACCTCCATCGAAGCTTTCGATGTAT